TCACGAATCCTCTCATTATAACACACGAATTGTAGACATTATGAAATATTCATTATGCATATATTTATTGTGTTATAACAGAGATTTGTGAGATTGCGTTGAACTGAGATGTCTTTTAGAGATTATAAATGCAGCGCTCTTTGCTGGCATTCTGCCATGCCAAACCATGCACGCAACAGCCGCTCGCTTTAGTTAAAAATAACAGTGTTCTGTGAATGTTGATGCTTTAATAACAAATATTTATCGGGAGCGTGTATGCTGGGATTTCATAAATTTCATGGAGAAAAAAGTAACGTAACTAGTAATGTAACGAATTACTAATTACTTTTGAAATAAAGTAATCAGAACAGTAACGCGATTACTTTTAAAAGGAGTAATCAGTAATCAGTAATTTGATTGCATTTTCAGAGTAACTTGCCCAACACTGCCTATAGCACAGTTATTTAAATTTACATTTACATTTAGTCATTTTGCAGTCGCTTTTATCTAAAGCGACTTACAATTGGGGAATACATAAAGCGATTCTTCTTAAAGAGGCAAACAGACACAGGACGTGCTTGGAATAGCAAGTTTTAGGCATTGTTCAAATAAGTACAAGCTAGAAAGGGAATGAATAAATAAAGAGAACAAGTTTTTTTTTTCTTTCTTTTTTTTTCACAATTATAGCCTAATCTTTGGCTAGTCATAGGCAGACATGTTTTTTTATTTTTTTGTACAAGGACCTTTCAATGCATCCTAATACATTTATTTCATATGTTTTTCTGTACTTTTATGCTTGGTCCAACAATGACTAGAACAGCGCTTTCTAATACCAGACTAACCTTGTGGCATGAATGAAGCAACAGAGCCACAACTCCATACATAAAGTGAATATTTGTGACACAGAGTGCTCTACACAGATAGAGAGAAAGAAATGGGGTCACTGTGACCTTCAAGAGCAGGCAGTCAAAGTTCAGACTTTGAAATACATTTGGTGACAGCAAATTGGAAAGCGGGATGACTGAACAAGAGTTCAGGACTTCTTGTCTCAACAGTCATATTTCATCTCTCCTCTCCACCCTACAGGGTCTTCATAAATACACACAAAGTGCCTGGTTATTCTTCTTAATTATATTTACTGTTTTAAGGTTGAAGGTGTGAAAGATGCTTACCTGGTTGTAAACAGTGTGATTTTCCTATTTCTGGCGGTTTGGTCCATATGAACATCCACAATTCATTGACTCACTGAACAGACGGGATGCAATTGATTCTCTAATGAGTAACTTTCAAACTGGATACAGCAAGAAGAACGTGTTTACACTGTAAAATCCAATAGTTTACCTTACTTAGATTTAATTAGTTGTCTTTACTTAGTTGTTATACTTACTAGGTTTTATTAAGTTCCAGCTACTTTCAAGGCAAATAAAACAATTTACTTACTGTTTTGAGTGACACTTACTTAAAATATCCAAGTAGCCACAAAGGAACCAATGACATTAATAAAGCAGTGAGAGGCAGCAGTGCACTAGTAAGTTGCTAATGTGCAACATAACAACAAAAGAAGAAGAAAAGAAAAAGAGTCTTAATAGACTTTTCACTCATTTCCTCCATGTCTGCAGTTATCTTTCACTAGTTGCATTCACTCGTTTCCCAAAGTCATCTTGAATGTTGAATTTTCAATACAACTGAAATATTTGAGAGAACAGCACATAAGCTGACTTCATATTCAATTGATGTTGATTTTCCTAAAATGTGTTTTTTTTTTTTTACCATTATAGTGATTAGCGTTCCCTTTGGTTGGGCACTTGGAACTTCGTTTATGTTATTATAATTTTCTTCTTGTCAATGCAGCAATGCATCATGAAGTCAGAGTTATTTGTTTCAAGAGAAGAAAAGTAATAAATAGGTTGTGTTTAGAAAGTGATCTACCTTCTAATTAAAGCATTAGTGCATTGTTTTGTGTGTGAGTTTATTAATGAACATTTTCCAGTTTCATTTTTCATAAATACCTCGAGATGCTTTTAATTGGGTTTATATAATTCTTCAATAGTGTGTGGTAATATGCTAAAGTCACACACAGACTTAAACATTCAGCATGTGAACCACAACAATGGTAACAATTAAATGTCATTTATTTTCATTAATTGTAACAATAACCATTGTATTTGCTCTTTTTGTTGAGCTACTACTGACACAAGACAGCAAATTAAATTGGCAAATTAAATCAACAACTGTAAAACAAAGCAACTGCATAATTTATTCATGCCGCAATGCACAGTCAGTGAGTAGCTATACTAAGTCACGAGTAAACCTAAATGAAAGGATCAAGTACCTCCTACAGTTCTTTTTTAGTTACTAGAACTCTCGTGTAAGTAAACTATACTAACTAAGCTTTTGTCAGTACACTATTCCTATTTCACTACTTCGTTTTTTCAAGGCAATCGGTTTGCATGCTTTTTTTTAAGTAAGCCCAACTAATTAGATTTTACAGTGTAAATATAATAACTGTACGGTAATAATTATATAATTTAAATAATTTATCAAACTTATATGAAATAATTAATATAAAGCAAATTACAGTAGTGTTGTTTCTCTCCTGAATGAATCAGTGTATTTGAAAGAATAAGCTGATTGAATTCAATGACTCACTCATAAAGATGTTCATTTGTTTTCCTACCTGAGTAAATCTGTATAGTTTACCTTACTTAGATTTAATTAGTTATCTTTACTTAGTTGTTATACTTACTAGGTTTTATTAAGTTCCAGCTACTTTCAAGGCAAATAAAACAATTTACTTACTGTTTTGAGTGACACTTACTTAAAATATCCAAGTAGCCACAAAGGAACCAATGACATTAATAAAGCAGTGAGAGGCAGCAGTGCACTAGTAAGTTGCTAATGTGCAACATAACAACAAAAGAAGAAGAAAAGAAAAAGAGTCTTAATAGACTTTTCACTCATTTCCTCCATGTCTGCAGTTATCTTTCACTAGTTGCATTCACTCGTTTCCCAAAGTCATCTTGAATGTTGAATTTTCAATACAACTGAAATATTTGAGAGAACAGCACATAAGCTGTGTTTTTTTTTTTTTACCATTATAGTGATTAGCGTTCCCTTTGGTTGGGCACTTGGAACTTCGTTTATGTTATTATAATTTTCTTCTTGTCAATGCAGCAATGCATCATGAAGTCAGAGTTATTTGTTTCAAGAGAAGAAAAGTAATAAATAGGTTGTGTTTAGAAAGTGATCTACCTTCTAATTAAAGCATTAGTGCATTGTTTTGTGTGTGAGTTTATTAATGAACATTTTCCAGTTTCATTTTTCATAAATACCTCGAGATGATTTTAATTGGGTTTATATAATTCTTCAATAGTGTGTGGTAATATGCTAAAGTCACACACAGACTTAAACATTCAGCATGTGAACCACAACAATGGTAACAATTAAATGTCATTTATTTTCATTAATTGTAACAATAACCATTGTATTTGCTCTTTTTGTTGAGCTACTACTGACACAAGACAGCAAATTAAATTGGCAAATTAAATCAACAACTGTAAAACAAAGCAACTGCATAATTTATTCATGCCGCAATGCACAGTCAGTGAGTAGCTATACTAAGTCACGAGTAAACCTAAATGAAAGGATCAAGTACCTCCTACAGTTCTTTTTTAGTTACTAGAACTCTCATGTAAGTAAACTATACTAACTAAGCTTTTGTCAGTACACTATTCCTATTTCACTACTTCGTTTTTTCAAGGCAATCGGTTTGCATGCTTTTTTTTAAGTAAGCCCAACTAATTAGATTTTACAGTGTAAATATAATAACTGTACGGTAATAATTATATAATTTAAATAATTTATCAAACTTATATGAAATAATTAATATAAAGCAAATTACAGTAGTGTTGTTTCTCTCCTGAATGAATCAGTGTATTTGAAAGAATAAGCTGATTGAATTCAATGACTCACTCATAAAGATGTTCATTTGTTTTCCTACCTGAGTAAATCTGTGTTTTTGAACGTATCAGGAGAGTGAATCATTCAGTGATATATTCACCTGTTTCATTTCTGAAAGAATAAGTGATTATGACTCACTCATAAAGACAGTAACTTGTCGCCACCTACGGAGGTAAAATGCAGTGGTTTGGTACATTGGCTATATTGAAGAACAATGCCACAATCAATTCTTTCCTGATTATTTTTATTTTCATAGCTGTTTTGTATTTGTGCTTAGGTCTGTCATCACTCTGACATGTTTTTCGAAACTGGTACTGTAATCCAAAAAAATACAGGCTATCTGTCAATCACGTTGTGGGAAATGTGAACGAGTGTAATTGCATAACCAAAATGTACAATACTTTCTAATATTCAAATATAGTTTACACTTTATAATAACTTTCATTAACAATACTAACCAAAATTATTACATTATAAAATGCAAAACAGTTCATTTGTATTCTAATAGATGTCATGAAACATTGAGATAATATATTATTATTATTATTAAATGTAATAATATATTATATTTAAATCAAATATAATTATATTTCAATGTATATATTAAATGCAATACATATATAAATGAATGCTTGTTAATGATTTCTTAATGAAAGTTATTACAAAGTGTCACAGAGAATCAACTGAAATTCATCAGAAGGCTGCACAACATCACAAAAAAAGCAAGTAAAAAAAAAAACGCACAATCAGAACAAAGTTATAAAGCTCTTTCCCCAAATGGCAAAAAAAAAACGTTGTCATCAACTTTGGATTCAGTGAGGAGTTCAACTCAGAAGGCAAAAAGAGAGCTCTTATATCGTACAAAAATAGCATGTGTAAAAAGGAATCAGTCATTTTCAAAATCTCTCAGTCCACTGCTGACTGCCACTCTTCTCAAGTTTGATAATTCTGTCTGGGCATTTGCATTAGGGTTTATTTCCCATAAAACATCTCCAGAAGAAGTTCCTCCATGTTGACAGCTCCAATGACTGGTTTGAAGAACAGACCGGCCACCACATTGGCATTGATGGATCTCAGCATGCAGAGGGCGAGGAAGAGTTTGGCGAATCTTGCACTGTCCCCGCGGTGAATCATTTTGACATATTCATTAAGCGCCTGGTTTGCCTCACTCTGCAGGCCCTGGATGTAATGTTGACACTGCAGCCCTGCAACATCTAGAGATGGAAAGAGACTTGTTATATCCTGTACCAGAAAGACCTTAATGATGTGAAATGACCCTCATTAAACAGATACCCTTTGATTACCTCTACACTTGACTATAATTCTCAAAATTATGAATTTTTGAGAACAATTCATGATAAACAAAGAAACATTTATGTCATGAAACTTTGATTCATATATTGTCATATATTCATATTTGAATTAATGATCTGTTACATACCACAAGTCAGAAAACTTGACTTTTTTTTGGTCCAACTAATTAGCGTAAATATTATTATTATTATTATTATTATATGACAATATTTATTAGTATAAGTATACTATTATTATTTATGAATTTTAATAATACAATGTGACTCGTGTTAAAATAATTCAGCAAAACAAAGCACTATTTTTTTATATTGATATGTATCTACTTGTGTGTATTATTATTAAATTATTATTATTATACAGTTAATGCTTACACACATCATTAATTACAATGTGATCCCAATTTAAGCCAGTTAAAGTAAAAAAAAAAAACATGAACTGTCTTAATTCAGGTATGTATGTATTTATTATTGCTATTATTATTATGAATTATTAAAATATGATTTAAATTTAAACCAGTTAAAGGCAACTATGAACTGTCCTAATTCGGGTATTTTATCATTATTATTATGAATGTTAATAATTACATTGTGGGTCACAGCAAACCCGGTTATTCTTAACAGCAGCTAGAAAGTGTCCTACTTCAGGTGTGACCGGTTAGCATGTCTCACCTGGGTTGAACAGAATGGCCCCTTTTAAGTACGCGTACTCCTTAGTGCTTATGTCCAGTCCCCAGCATTTCCGCAGAAACATTTTAATACCTTGAACGTCGGTCAACGCCACTCCACCGTTATTACTCTGGTGGTCCTGCTTGTCCTGTCCGCTCGTTAATATCCGCTGCAGCATGCTGGGCTCTTGCGTCTCCGAAGTCTCGAAGTCGATCCTGTCCTGCGCCATGCCGAGCACCAGCAGCGGCGCCCAGCTGCTCCGCACCAGCGTGTGTTGGTCGTCCACCGGCAGCTCCTGAAAACACGGGACATTCTTCACGAACTTCAGGGTCTTGACCAGGACCGCGGAGGCGGCTTTACATGTGGTCTGAGGGGAGCGGAGAGACACCTTCGTCTTGGAGCCGCAAGCACACGCGCGCATGGACAAGGCGAGCCTCGGGGTCCTCGGCTGGTTCCCAAGTTGCGCAGTCTGACTGTCGTTCTTTAAAATGCTGTACAAGATGCTGTTCTGTCGTCTTTCGCTGCTGCAGTGGCAGCTGCTGTCAAAGTAAGCCATCCTCCTGGTGCTGCGGGGGCTGTTATGTTTCGTTGCTGAAACTGTTATGAGCTTTACGCTTGGAGACGTCCATGCACGGTTGAGGTCTGTGTGTTCCCATCCACCCAAATGCCAAATAGTTTAGAGTTTTCAAACAGCACTGGACGCCTCCCACTGTCTCTCTCTCTGATGCACACATAGGGGACGCTATAGTCCCTATAGATTTTGATGTGTGGTTTTCGAGCCCTACTTGACTTCAGGCTTTGCTTACTGTACTTTATTGGGCACTAAATGACTCCACAAAAACAGTAAAACCTGAAATCACCTAAACGTGAGGATAACTTTTATATATCATCAGTAATATTTCAAGTTGAACATTTACTAGAGCGAAGTAACTTAGGTTTACTTGATTAACCATCAATATTTTTTTTGAAAAAAGTAGCCATTCAAGAACTTTTACCTACAGAGATACAGTATTAATTCTGAGTTGACTGTTGTTACCCAAGTAAAAGATCAGTTTAAGAGCAACATTGCAAGACCACAACTACCACGTTTCCAGACTGTACTACCAAAGATCTGTATAGAATGCCAATGTTTTGCCTAAAGGTATTTTTTCTATTCATTTCTGAGTACTATGACAGGTGACAGTAGGCACTACCTCCTAGTTTGGCATCTGTCCCAGTCTAACCTTGTCTGCTTTGACAGTTTTCAGAAACATGATGTGTGTGTGTGTGTGTGTGCAGGCCACTTTATTCCAAAGCTCTTGTGATAATTTATTATTTTTGTTTTGTTATTAAAGTCCAGGGTCACCTGCATTGTGCACTGTTTACCGGTCTTGTCTGAGGCAGACGGGGGGTGTACTGATGTCATTGCTCTCCTGAAGAAGAATATAAAAGCAAATTGATTTGCAGCCTGTGTGAAAAGTCATATCAAGGCGCCACTCCTGATGCTGAATAGCTGAAGGACAAGTCTATGGTGGAAGTGATGAAAGCATTAGAATATTGTGCAGTGAGAGACAACTCGGACACAATTGATCTATTTGAAAAAAAAAAATGTTTTTTACCATTTACATCAAGGACAATGTCAAATAAATAGTCTTCACAGCCTTCGCTAACACCTGTCCCCCCTCCCCCTAATGAAGCAACACACACACACACACTCATATATACTCACACACAATTTTGGATCCAACCCAGCCTCTGTTCAAGGTCAACAGGTCTAATGTTCTCATATGTGAAACAGGCACTGTATCTTGGATGAAGGCTCTTAGTTATGTTCTGTTTAGAGAGTTTGAGGGCCAAAGCTCACGTCACCAACATCCCCAGTAACTGTAGGACTAACATCAGAGGAGTTGGTCCAGATCAGTGTTTCCCAACCTTTTTTTAGTCGCCGCACCCTTTGGAAATTTTAACAAACTTGTTTTTACACGGCACCCCTGCTCTCGACAGACGGCACCCCAGGGTGTCGCGGCACCCCGGTTGGGAAACACTGGTCCAGATAATGACATAATCACAACGCTAGTGTTTACATGTCACTGTTTAATTTTAGGACAGTCAAGGATGAAATAATGACATAAAATAACTACACTGTAAAAAATGACCGTGAATTTAACGGTAAAAGACTGTCCTAAAACGTTGCTACTGTATTTTTTACGGTAAAATTCCGGCAACCACAGCTGCCGTTTTTTTACCGTAAATTTTACGGAATTTTTTTTACAGTGTATGTAGTATTGACGGACTGTGAATAGAATGTCTATTGTCTGAGAACAAAATGAATATAATACAAACTTTCATTGATTTTTCTAAATCGTTCTCAATGGTCTTTTACTAGCTGGAATGTCTTATCTGTAGAATTTCATTTTATTCATATTCAAACAATTGTATGCACGTTTTAGTACCGTATCTTGTTTACTTTCGTCAATCATGAACTGAGAACATGAATTAAACTGAAATTTAGGGCAAGTTGATTGTTGATTCTTTGGATGCTGTGCAAAGCTTGTTCTCTCTGAGTTTAGTGTGACTATGAGCATGACTTTGAGACCATTGACCCTTAAAATGACTAGCCTTCAATTTTTAGCAAACACTGGTCAAGCCAGCCTACACTTTAAGAAAAGTCAGTAAAAATACGACCCAGTGCACCATGTTAATATGAAGGATTTTTCCTTATTGATTTTTCGCAGGTATTTTACCTATATTTTGAATTACATATTGTGTTGTGTTTTAGAGTTGGAAATGTCCACAAACTTAACAAAAAATATACTAATCATTTTCTGAATGGACATTATCCATTTTTCTATGGATTTTGTTTTCTTATAGTGTACTAGTGTAAGCATTAATTTCTTAATCAACAATGCTAATTAATAACTTTCATTACTATTGGTGGGAATTATAAAATTACAGACAGTTGCTTAACTTTATTTGTATTTTTTTATTCATTTCAGCCAAGAGGTCAACTTGTAACATACCAAAACACACAAAACTTTAGGATAGTTCTTAAAGTCACAATTAAATGAAACATGTGATGTATATCCAAGTGAAACGGTTTCTTGAAAAAATGTAGGGCGGGACTTGAATTGAAGAAAGTGACAGAAAGAAAGACGTCATTGCAAGAGGGAGGGGAAGTTATTTTGATTGAGATTTTGAGGGCACATTAATAATAATAACAATAAGGATGATGATGATGTGCGTCACGTGGCTAAATCATTTATAAGAAATACTGCAATATTCCATAAAAAAAAGAATTATCCTATAACTTATAACTTTGATTTCATGATGGCTTAATGAATAATTAATTTTAAAAAATAAGTAACAGATAAAATACTTTAAGGAAATGTTTATACATGTATTTATTTGGCAGCGATGAGCCATTTTTGAATTCTGAACACAAATAGACAAGTGTTGTTTTATTTTTTCTTCTTTTTTTTTTTTAGGTTTGACAGACATGGTCACTTTGAACATCTGGAAAGAACTGTGTGAAGTCTGCAAAACTACAGCATACAGGTTTGATACACCTTGAAAGTGAGTAAATAATGCCTGAATTTTTCATTTAAGCTGTTTATTAAATGCGTACACTGTACACTTCAAATCAAAGTGACCAACAGAAATGTCCTCCTTGTGTTTGAGTTTTCGATTTGATCAAAAGCCAGAGTTACTGCATTTCCAATCATGTCTCCCTTCATTGCAAGGTCATGGTCATTCTGGATGATTTGTGGCGTCTCTCTCTCTATTTCTGTGTGTGTGTGTGTGTGTGTGTGTACCTCCATGTGCCCACATATGTGCTTCTGCTTAAATAGTTATTTTTGCTGTCTAGACTTCAGGCTAATTTCATGGACTGTTATCTGTGGATTATGTTGTTGATAAACATTTGCAAATTTCAGACGTTAAAAGTAATAATAATTATCAGCTTTTTATCGATGGTCACCTGGTTAACAGAAACTTTTATTAGACTCTTCATTCCTAAAAAAGGAAAATGAAAAAAGAAGCATTCAGGAACTTCACTGTTTCATAAGTACCACAACTGTGAGCCTTATTGAGTGCATCAACAAACATTAAAAGTTGCATTTGAATTACAATGTTTTTGAGTTAGTCTCAAATGTAAATACAACTAGGGCCTACAAGATTATTAATTTCAGAATTATGTAATACTATTTTAATTCTATTTTAATGTGTTCTATTGACATATTTTCACATGAATAATGTTAACATTATCTTTCAAATGTAAAGATGTTTTCATGGTCAGTGGTTTATGCGTGTTGTCTGCACAGAGTGCTAATGTTTACATAAATGTCTAAGTGGTAACTAAATCCAGTCTTAGCCTAGATCAGCCTCCCTTTTACTGACATGCATAAACAGAACACAGAAACAGCCCACCAGGTTATCATGACCCAATGAGAATAAGAATTTGGCTCAACTTCACAACAGCAACCTTGAAGAAAAAGGTCTTTCTTTACCCTTCTGTCTTTTTTCCTATGTTTGCAAGATTGTAGTCTTTTCAGTACTATAGCTTTGCCTTGTGTTCTGATGAATAATTTTCAGAAAATAATAAATGATACAATATATAAAAAAACAGTTAATAGACAATGAAAAGGAAAGAATAAAGACCAAGTTTGTTTTTAAAAACAGAAAAAAACAACTTTTTTGGGCAAATTGTTCTTGTTGCCTTCTTGTGTTATGAGACCTTCTGTCTGTTACTATAGTAACTAACTCAAATTTCTTCCTGCCTGCCTCTATGACTTTACCCATAAATGATATGGCCTTGTGTCGAAGAGAGTTACAAATTGAATACAGCTTTTCTCAAGGGCTTCTGTCATTCTGTCTGTGGCTGTACAAGGTATGAGAGAGGAAATTCATTTGACGTGCTGCTGTGTGTGTTCACCTAAGAGAGAGAGAGAGAGAGAGAGAGAGAGAGTATGTGTGTGCGCGACAAAAGCCATCAAACAAACAAACGAAAAATGTTTGTTTGTTTTACAAACAACTGCTTATAAGAGAGCTAGAGAAAGATGACATGGGTTTTATTCACTAATCGCGCGTATGCACATGAATGAAATCTATGTATGAATGTTTTGACACAGAAATCATAGATTTACACAAACATTTACTTCAAATTTAAAATATTGCTGACAAATGAGGTCCGAAACACAGCTCTCAGGCGAGCAAGCGTGTGCGAGAAAATTCGCAAGAGAAAGGGAGTGAGGAAAATCCTTATAGAGTGCTGCAGATGTGAGTCTAATCACTGTTGGTTCCCTCAATAGTGAGGGAATACTGACCTTTTCATATGGGTTTTTTTAATTGGGTTTTTACAATTCATGAATAAAATAAGGTTTGTAGTAAACATAACTTGACGATACTTGGATGTTTTGTTGTGCAAAGTAAACTGCACACACTCACACCCCAAATGTTCATTTTTAAATAAATAACTGCTTGTTCTTGTTCCTGTCGTCTTTGTTCTAGTTTCCCGTTTTCTTTAGTTACCACGGCAGTTCATTTGATCATCACATCTGTTCATTATCATGCCATCAGCATGGCTTAGATTTGCAAAGTTGCTTTGAATAAGCCCAATATTTCTAGTCTATGGAAAATCAAGACTGTGGGGATGTTCGGTCAATGTGCAAAACGGC